TAATCTCTGATACGGGAGCAGTGACGAACTTCACTTCGCGTGCATATCGATTGCGAAGCGAAGAAAAGAAGAGGGATTCTTCGTGTTGATTTTGGATTAAGGTGGTTTTATCGAACAAGTCCGAGTCAAAAGTTAGTCCCTCCATATGACTAATAATTCAATAAAAACAAACGTAATTCAATAAAAATATTTCGCATAGACATGCACATATGCGATTGTGTAACATTTATGTGACAACGTCACACTATCGAGTTGGCATTGAGCGATAAAACCACCCACCTTAACAGCGAGAAGGAATAACGCGAAATAAACTTGTCCGTTACTTTCGCGGCCTGAAAGAACGGGTTTTGATTTTAAGGATCAAGATCGTCTTACCATTTTCTGACTGCCCCAGATCCGAGGACGAAGACAATCGCTGCGGGGTCTCAGACGTGGGAAGAAACCCCGCGCCAGCAGCCTCGACAATTGCTGTCCCATGCAACATGCAACCAACTAACCGACCGACCGACCGACTGGCGACGAGCAATGTCGCGAACAAACTACTCCTTTGCGGGGGTAGCGGATTATCGACCCGGGGGCTGCGAGGAACTACTTTCGCACTCGGTCATCCCTGTGACTGCCTCGTCTCCCCCCTCCCCTCCTCCAACGTTTTGTCATGGAAACCAGAGCGATTCCATGGAAACTTCGCGAAAGTGGGAAGAGAAATAGAAAAAAGTAAATAGAGGATCCTCGAGAAAACTTGGTAAGTAGTAGTTCGAATTCTTTGCGCCTTTAAATTATTTTTTTTATTAGCTTGAAGGGTTCTATTTTTTTTTCTTTCTATTTTTCAATAAAGTTTCTGTTAGACAGAACAATGCGGAATTTGCGACGCGTGTATTCACTTCAAAACGCAGTTGTAACGCAGTTTTCTAATAAGTAATATTACGACACCAATATTTTTAAATTAACTCTCGTCTCCAAACGCATAGGTCACATACTGAACGAATCACTTTTATCTTGCAATTAATTTCACGAAGTTAGATTTTACAAACGTCACGTTGCAGTTGTGTGAATTACTCGTGTTGCTCTAACATAAGTGGGAAATCCTTCTGAATCGCGTCGCTCCTCTTCAGGCCGCGCATTGACGCATAGTTCCCAACAACATCTTATATAACAAGATACTAACATATAGATATAGATAGAAGTACATATTTATGTAAACTCAAATTTCTATAGATTATACTTCTTCCTATACTTCACTGTGGTAAATATAAATTACCTTTGTCATCCGACAGAAGCATAAATGTATATTCGGAAGATAAATTCATAAAGAAAAATTGTAGTTATTAATCGGTAAAAACTTTTTCTATCAGCAAACAGACTTATAGAATTTTATGCCTGCCTGCTCCAACGATGAGACAACATCGAAAAGACGCTGCTCTTTACCTAAGTCTGGCGGCATCTGTCGGGGAAGCTTTCAAGCCGCGAAATCGTGCAGAGATAAGTGTAACGGAACGTATTGTAAGTATGTACATACGTAACTTTTATCGGACATGTACAATACAGGGTGTACCGCGCCTTAATTTATTACGCTTGCATGATCGCACGATTCCGTGGTAAATCGGCTCCGAAAACATAAATGGCCTTTTCTCACGAGACGCATCTAGCCCGCGCAATCGTCGTTCGAAATCTCGCGAAATTACGACAGGAGAAATGATATGTGACGAAATCGCAAGGCGCCGAGAGCCAATTCGCCAACACTACTGGCACAGACGTCGCAAGGCCGACACGTGGGGTCAAGGACAGCGCGGCGCGTAAAAAAAAAGAGAAAGAAATAATGACCGAACACACCCACGAACGAAGTAGCACGCAACCGCAATTTTCGAGTCAAGCGTACCTTTTTGTCCCAAGACAAACGACGATTCATCTTCCTTTCGAGCTAGTCGGGCGCGTTTTTGCAGCCGATTGAATCTACCTACGCGATTCACGCGAAGATACCATCAACGAGGGACGTTCGTGTGTTTGGAAGATTAAATATTTTTTACGGCCACGTTAATGTGGATTAAAAATTAATGTAATGCGTGTGATATGTGGTGTATGTGCAATTTGAAAGCTTTTATATGAGAGCTAACACATGGGAAACACGAAATCTGGGAAAGGTTTAAATATTTCTTCGTAGTAAAAGTTAAAATTTCAAATGTGTATGTAAAGTATAAAATACTAATTATTTTATATAACAAATTTCAAACTTTAAATATAAATTTATTATACAAAAATATGTAGATACTTATGATTCTTAATTTGATATATATGAAAAATGCTCTGTAATTTCTATTACAGTGGAATTTTATTTAAATATTAGAAAAATTTCAATAGCTTAAAATTCAAAATTTAAGTCGGATTTAACAAATTTCTACTTTAACGATATACATACAGGGTGTCCTGACTTAAAATATAAATTTAGGACTTCAAGAAAAAATTTCCTTTGGAAGTATGTCCGTTTGTGCTTTATTCAAGATACTGACGTCTAAACATTTTCAATATAAAATTTTATGAGTTTATTATCAGATTATAATAAATAATAAATTAATTAATAATGTGTCTCAATTACTTTATTATTAGAAAATTTTAATATAATTATAAATTTTGTTCAAAGTGATGGCCTTGAGACAGGCTTGGCATCTTCATTTCACGGCAATATTGACAAAGTGGGACAGCTATTTTATATACTTAAATAATTCTTCCTTGTCGGACTTTCATAGACTTTTTGTTTAATAGCACCCCAAACAAAAAATCCTTTGTTATTCTTATTCGTAACTCTAAATGTCAATTCTCCTAAACGAAGAGCTTATATTGCCAAAAGAAATTTTTTTTCGTTTTGAAATCTTAAATTCATATTTTAAGCTGAGACATTTAAAATCCTGAAACATTCTGTATATATAATAATTAATAAATCATCATAATAATTAATAAAGGACTTTTTATTAAACTATCTATATTGCATATTTACTAAACTAATTATTTTCTGTCATTTTATAGAATTCAATATATATATAAATGCAATCCTTTCCTATATCATAGCTCTTTCTCTCAATTCCCACTTTTTATTATCAGAGAAAAATCATGGGTAACGAATGTATACTGTGGAATGAATCGCCGAATCTCAATCGTGAAGACTCGATTCTATTGGGTGACCCGTATCGCGCGTGGAAGGAACTTTCATTTCGCGATTATTTACGCCTGGGCGGCGTGTCGTCGTCTAAATTTAGATGAATTCAGCTAGGTCGCCTACTACGTGGCTCTTGAGTCAGCAGCATGCTGAATTTCTGAGCGCAAGCCAAACTATAACTTGTGGTGTCGAGCGACACGTCGTCTCACGATTACACGAGACCGTCCGCGGACTGTCCGCCTGTCGCGATGTCCGTTCGTACCTCGTAGCAGCGCGCCGCGTCTCTTTTGCGAAATCATCGCCTTGGCCGATAGTCAAGGCCGCGATCGTGGTCGTTATTGGATGAGAAATCGCAACTTCGACTCGTGTTACTCAGCGAGGAAATATTATGCCAATGTTCTGGAGAAGACGCGCTTCTCGAGTCGGGCTCGAGTGCAGCTTGACTTTACTTGACTTCTCGCGTCGACGATGATCGTCGTTGTGTATTTAAATTCAGCTTGTCAGATAAAATTGTCTACTGGACGATATGGCATTTTTTTGTTCGCAAAAAATACGTACGTGTCCCATTTCTCTCCTTATTTCTATTACAAAAAATCCACGAACTTAAATACCAGGCGCAACTAATATATCGTCGTATATCCAATTAACTTTCTATGAACAAGGATATCAAATAAAATATTTTTTTCGAATCACAACTATTATAGGTGTATTCAGAAATCATTTGCAACGATTCGGTCGTAAGTTCCGCATTTTAATTTTATTAATTTTAAGGGGTCACACTATCCCTAAAGTTTTAAAATGATAACTTAAGTTTGGGATATTTTTCTGGGTAAATGGATAATTTTACTTAAATAAAGTTATCTACTTATCCATAAAAAAATCCCAAAATTAGGTATCACTTTGAGGCCTTATAGGACTTGTAGGAGTGGTGTAACCCCTTAATTTTATCACGCGAGAAAATGTCCAATAGATTGGGTAGGTTTCAGGTAAACGTGTGTTTCCATCATCTTCATCGAAAATCCGTCGATCTTTTCAGAAGCCATATAGGGATAAATCGAGGGACCTTATGCGATGCACGCGCAGTTTCCATTTTAGCGCGCGACGGCGACAGGGTCCCCGTCCGATACCGTTGTGGAAAACGCAACGTACTTACATACGCGCGTGTCAACGACCCCCGCAATCGCGCCTTTACCCCGCGCGGGTTTCCGCGCGCTGCCGCGAGCCTCGTGCCAAATTATTCGGCCGCGCCCACCGCGTCTTTCTCTCTCGGTCCTTTTGTTATCCAAACGAGAAAGGTCAGGCTCTTTCGGAGAGCGAGAGCTGCCTCGATGGGCATCGAGGGAAGAGCCTTCCGTCCACCCACGTTCCGACTTTTAATTCGGAACCACCGCATTGTTTACGAACGCACGGGTTTTTGACCATCAGTAGGGATCGCGAATGCACGCAGCTCTACCGCGTGACACCGATCGTGTCCGTATTCGCGCCGGGCCGGAAGTAATAAGCACGGAGAGTCATATAGCCATAACGCAATTGCGGCTCTCTCAGCGCGGCGAATACTTTCTGACGTTCATTCACAACGGAATAAAATTTATCTTTTTGCGTATCTTTCGTATATCTATTCTTTTCCATGTATCTATAAATTTTTAATATCTATAATTCTAGCTATATAAATTTAATATTTGTCTACATCTTTGCATTCGTTTTCGTACCTCTCTGCAGTTATTTTTTAATGTTTTTCGTACAAATGTTGTATTCGTTTTTACTAAACATTATACAGCACCATTTCAATGCTCCAGGATCGTTTAATATCGATCATCACTTTTCCATTTATTCAAATACAAACATCACTTACCCTCGCGGCAGCGACGCTCTTCTCCGCCGAGACGCCGTCGAGCTCGACGCGCGCCCTCGCCGCCGTCGCGGCGCTCTGCTCCTTGTACGAGACGTCACCGGCTTGCAGGGCCCTCATCTCGGCGCTGTTCGCCGTCGCCTTCTCGGCGCTAAATCCATCCGTGACGACCTGAGCGGGAATGAAGTATGACTATTAGACGCGAGGGCAGAAGGAAAGCCCACGGCAAACCGAGGTGCCGCGATAGACGAAGCAATACGACAAGCCTCGACACTTTCCCGCGATACACCAAGGATAGGACTCGCAGTCCTTGACCTAGACTACCTGGAGGAAGCCGCACCTCGGATCGCCCAGCCATTCGCTACGCGCGTCTAACATTATCGCCCCGATGCTCGGCTATGTGTAACGTCTATCGAACGTGCCGCGATTCAGCTCGGCAAATCCGAGCTAAATCAATCGCGCAATTCTTATCAAGTACGTATTTTTAGGTACGCGTTATTTTTTTGCGGACAGCACGCTGAATGCCTCGACGAGGCCACGTGCTGATAGCGTGCAGCGCGAGCGTCCGATTCCGTTTTCAACGTCGTGAAAAATTCAATATCGCAGTATTGAACCGACAAATATTCTACATTTTATTGTAACATTTGTAATTATTATTCTTATGGATTGTAATTCATCTTCATTTCGTTATCATATTTTTCGACATGCTTCTTGATATCATTCTATTAAACGAACTTTCAAAATCTGATCAAAGTCTCTCACAAATCTTGTAAGAATCGTTTCTTATCGATATACTGGTACTGTAATTATCGAGGTACTGTAATTATTAATTTCTACTTACGATAGAAATAAAAATCATATTCCTGATTTTATTTACATCGATTATTATTACAGCTATCCAGCAAACACAGATTATAACGACAATATTGCAATGTGGCTGGAATGTTACAATGCTGCTGCAACATTGCAATCTGTGTTTGATGGATAATTATTATTTACTGATTATTTCTAATACTAAATATAAAATTTTTTTATTGTGAGAGTCGTAATCGTAGGATATATGAAGACAAAGAAGACATCTCGCTCACCTTTGTTTTCGAGGCGCTAGTCATTTTCTTCTGTTCAAATTTCATAGTTTCCTGACCGGCAGGTAGGTTTGCCATGTTCGGTATATTTATCGGCGGGCTTATACTGTGATGAAGATTGTTCAGCGAGTTCAGGGAACTCAATTGGGACGGAGAACCGCCTGCCAACGTGACAGCATCGCTGACAGGTGGCGGCGTGTCCGTATCCGGAAAAGTCACCAACGGCTCCGTGAGATCGGTCTCTTCCGGTCCACTGCCGTCTCTACAAAATTCAAAAAGAATGCATAAACTATCGCGCTTTTCGTTGCTGATTCTTATTTCTAAAGAATTTGCTTAGGCGCAAAATTGAACGTGAGTTGACGACATTTTATTACGTTCAAAGATAAAATTTTTTCTCTGTGATTAAGTAAAAATATAGATAATAATTATTTTCCATATATTTATTGTGCATATAATAAATATATGAAATAAAAATAAATTAAAGAAATAAAATAATAAAATAAGAATAAAATAAATTAAAAGATGAATTTATATACGTCAATATATAGAAGAAAGAAATAGATCTGTACAATAAAAAATAGAGCGATATACACAAATCTTAAATACTTTGAAAATTATAATGCATTTATACATTTCAGTTTTTTTTTTAAATAAAAGACACACATATTTTTTCTAAAAGCTAATTTTCTTAAAAAAGCAAGCTTCAAGCAAAGAAATTTCGTTCTATTGAATATTATCAATATTATTTTCCATATATGTAGAATAATTATCTTCATTTGCATCAATTTGTATCAATGGATTACCTTATAAAGATTCACCAATGAAATGCTTATCATACAATAGTGCATTATAGAATTCACGGCGAACAGTTCAAAACATGTTAATGCTAGTTTTATGCAAATTGGTAAATTAATAAATTTGTACATTGTTCTTTATGCACATCGTCCTCGCTATGATATAATCGCAACGGAATATTATCTTGTATTTCGAAGTACGTAAAACGGCACGTGAGCAATGCGTTAAAAATAATCTGACTACCGCGAAAATAGCATGCGAATCGAAATTATGCGTACACAAATATTCGCCGTTGACGCGTTTCGTAGCTTTCAAGTTGTGAAAACTTTAGTTGCGATGTGTTAAACGTATGAATTTTTAGAAACTCTGAACGAAAATGAATCACTGAGCTTTTAGTAACTGAAAGTTAAAGAAATAACTAAAGGCCTTCCGAAAAATCTTCCGAAAAACCTTCAAATTTTCACGGAAAGATGAAAGTCAATGATTTTTTCAATTATTACTATAACAGCCTAAAGTTATTAAATTCTTTATTTATTGAGAATCGAGACGAATGCTTAGTCACCAATTAATTCTATATGTGCTTCACTTTTATAATAAAAATGTTCACTTTTACAATAAAAATAAAATCAATTTGATACACTTTGCATTCTATTGAAGCATTGCAAAAAACTTCGAAATAATAACCTACCGTTTAACACAATCCAAACTTATATTTTTATATGCAGATAGTAAAGAATGTTAAAATACAACTGCATCCAAGAACACACATCGCAATGATGACATTAAATTCGTCACGCTGGCAAACTCTAAGATGCTCTAAAAATATCAATCATTTCTATGAGAAAAGCACGCGAAATGGCGCGACGTTTTCACGAAACACACTCATGTTGCATGTATCCGTTAAAAACTCCTTCGAAAACGTCGGCCTCTTTCCACACTGAACACTGTTTCATCGCACACCGAATTCATCGATAATCCAAAGATTAGATCTGTCCCTTAAGGACCCTTTCAAGAATTGAATCCATCCTCGAAGATAGTCAATTTATACTTGCGAATGAACCAACCTGTCCACGAGGTTCTCCATGCTGCTACGCAGCCGTGAAAAGTTGGTCGAGATGTTCTTCATCTCCGAGATGCCGCGCTTGAGCTCGGTCAGGTCGCTCTTCATGGAGCTCGCCTTCATCTCACTCGACGAGGACGAGGTGAGAATCCTCTGCGAGGACTTGGCCACCCTGCTGCTCGTGCTGCTGCTAGTGCTGCTGCTGCTAGTACTGGTGCTGCTGCTACTCTGGTGTTGGCTCTGATTTGTCGTCAGCATCTGCCGAGTCAAAAGCCGTTTTCGTTCTATTTAAGATCCGCGTAAGATGACTCACTCGCTTCGCGGACCTCCCGCTCTCCAATTCTATCTCTATCTCTATCTCTGTTCCTCTTCTCCGTCTTTCTTATCTAGATATATACTCAGAGTTTGTAATCATATAGTCAGTTATTGAGTTCCTAGATTTTGTTCTTTAATCTTTCTTAAAAGATAATCTTATTACACTGAAAAAAGTAATCTTGCAATTATAGCGAAAATTATTTAGGTATACGAAAAATTAGCTAAAACGGATAAGTGATTATAGTAAGCACGGCGATACCACATGTTTTGTATTTAATCAATATAGATAATAGAGACAGAAATTATATCTGAACTATTTGTTAAATTTAGCAAGAAGGTTCTTCTATGACGTTTAATCAGTTCAGACTCTAATCATATTTAGTTATGAGACCTACATTTTCTTGTATATATTCTTAGAATATTGCTGCTATAAATTCTACGTATGACAGAAAATTTTTTAGCAGATACAAAAAACAGTGATATAATTTAATATTTGTTTGTAATATTTAGAATTCTAGCTGAAACAGCGAAACATTTTCTCTGAGTGTTCGGAATTAATTAATCTCCTTTCTTTCTAGACATTTTTGCGTATTGTATTTATGTCATGTAAAATAAAAAAAATTGTTCAATTTTACTAACGTAAAAGTCATAGCTAGAAAAAACAAACTTTATCGGTCTAATAAATATAAAATTCTTCATAAATAAAAATACACACAGAATAAAAAAAATACATACAGATATATATTTTTATATGTATGTTTACATGTATTAGATTATTCATTTTATTCCATGGCTACTCTCCTTTTTTTGTAAATATGTTGTTATTAATGGTAAATATTTCTTCATTATCAACTCTATTTGACAAACGCGACAAGACTTTTAGAGACCAATCTTTTTTATTTTACGAACTTAAAGTCGGATGGTTTACCTTGTAGTTATACAAATGGAAAGTACAGTTCGACCGAATAATTCTTCGAGAGAGCGAATTGGAAAGGTTTAAAGGGAAAAAATGTAAACAGCATCCGCTGTAGCACCGCGGCAATGACTGCTGGCGATGGGCCAGCAGTCATTACGAGATACGAGATGACTCGGCCAAACCTAAAGACGAAAAGGGCCCGATAAATTTAGAAGGAGGCAACGTTCTCTCGAAACAACGAGAAGAAGGGACCTTGAAGCGCGGTACCAAGATTCATCCAAGATAGATCCGTAGAATTAATCTTCAATGGAAAAATATGCACGTGGGCGACCGCGTTGCGTAGTAAATGCCTACAGTCGTTCTCGAGCTATCGCTTTTGATTGCTCGATGATCGGAGACGGTTCGACAAGTGGTTTCACTCACGAGACCGCGCAGCCACTTTGACCGCGACGTATGTCTCATACACACGTCGTCGGTATAAAGATTCATATGCACACAACGCATTTAACATCAAATACGTATGTCGCCTTTAAAATCTGATTGGAACTTTGACTTGTATTTAAATTTGATGATATAAAAGAGATCTGGTAAATGGAAATGTAATCTAATATATTCTTAAAACTTAAATACAAGACAGGCTAATGAGAAGTCACGAGTGGTTCTTGGTGTCTAAATTTTATTAGAATAGTATTAGAATAGTATTAGAACATCAAAAATTACATTAAAATGTACAATATGTACGTATATTGTATGTTTTAATGTAATTTGATGTTCTAACACATATAAATTTGGGCACTAAGAACTGCTCGTGACTCTCATTAGCCCGTCTCGTATTTAAGTTTAAATAGAGTTTTAAATCGAGAGTCTTAATAAGTCTTAATATTAATTTTACTAATATATTCTATTGTTACTTTTAATGCTTAATTGTCATTAATCTTCGGGTTTCCAAGAAATTTCGATCAATGTGACAGTATCAATCATTTCATTTCCATCTGTATGTCATTAATATTATGCAATGTCGCAATAAACTTTTGTTATCTTGACAGTTTAATAAAGTCCAAAAGTAATTTATGTTAATTATAATTTTCCACTTGATTTTTTAAAATTAATAATCAACTGTTAACAATCAAGTTTTCTGAGTCGCAAAACAGAGAAATAAATAAATTGGACAAAAATGTGAATGGGAAGCCAGTCAGGCGAGTCGATTGACTTGCGCGAGCAGTGACGACAATTATAATTATTTTCGGCACTTTTAGCGGATCGCTCGATGATAAAAGCGTCGGGTGAATAATTCCAAATTTCCGCGTCTACTTTCAGGAAATTCGTCTCAGATGTGGGCGTCGCAGGCGCCGCGACATCTCATCTAGCTGACGCAGAGGCGACGGGATAGGAAGACGGATTAAAGGCCGAAGATTAAAATCTTCTAGAAAGAAACGGTCTGAGAGGAAGCCTGACGATCGTGTTTTCCACGAAGCAGCGAGGCCAAATAAATATTGCAGCACACGTCGCGACTCGTTTCTGCTGAGTGTCCACAAAGATGCAAAGTGCGCGGAAATGCATACGAGCACAGGTCTCCGGATTTCTGATTCGAAAGTTACGTTATCGCGCGCAAAACGTTCGGATTTATTCGGAGTTAACGCCATCATTCATTGCGGACAGATCAATTCGGTACACAGTTGAAAAGTGTGTGTTAAATTTAACACATCTCACATGTCCACTCAAATTTTTGTGTTAATTTAACGCAAGATGAATATGTTAGAAAGTAACACAAACATTATGTAAAAATTAATACAAAAAATGTAACACTTTTATACAATTTGGAAACAAATTGTGGAAACATTATTCCTCAGTAAAATTAACAAGTATATTTATCTTTTATTCATTTATCTTAGAATTTACGGTTTAAAACTACTTTATTTTTATGTCATTTATTCACTTACTTATAAATTGTGTTGTTTTGACATTGAGAAATATTAAATATGTATTAATTTAACACAAAATATTTAAATAACATAATCACATTATGTTAATTTAACAAGCAAATATGTTAAAAATTCGAAAAACACGAAATTTTAACAAGAACGTGAGTGGACCGTTTCGAACATAAATACAAAATATTTTTTACTGTGTACAATGGGGATATATTTAACATAATTAATAATTCGCTAATAGGAAAAGCCTAGATAAGAAGATAAGAAGATGCAGAGGTAGTTTCCAACTTTTAATATAAAATTCACGATCGCTTCGGCATAACTCTTGCTCTTTCTCTCACTTTTTCATTGGTAAGAAGACCCGCCGGAGACTCGAGAGATTTGCACAGGTGGATTTTCAAATTTATTTCGAACACACCGCACATATAAACCCATACCTCTCGCGAGCGTGTCGATCAACAATCAATTAACAGTTAAATACTCGGGACGTGTCGCGAGAAAAACGTGTGTCGAATCGCCGCGGAAATACAAGTGACGCATTCTTTTCCATATATCCTTCGAGGAATCGCGACACAGTCTCGCGGGGAGCACGCGCAAATATTTGACAGTCAAAGTAGAAGGGAAGACCGTGTCGGAGATAATTACCTGCGACGACGTGGTGGTGACCTGCGGATGATGGGTGACGTGGTGCGTCCTGCCGGTCACCAGGTTGTTCTTCTTCTGGAAGTTCTCCATGGCGGTATGCATGTTCTCGCCTCCCTCCACCGGGAACTCCGACATCTGCAACAACGGATAATATTGTATACCACCAGAATATAATAGGTCGCAACAGATCAAGACGTTCAAATATTTGTATGTGTTACAACAAAATTTTATACATATATAAACATTCGCTTTACTTGTAACGGAGACGAATCGACGGACATCGCATGCACGGATGTTTTAATTACGGGTCAATTAAGTCGGCGGGGATTCGCCGACTGCGAGGGCCTAATAATAGGCCCTGGGAAATAATTGGCAGCTCTCGAGCTTGGCGAGAGAGACTAACTAGAGAGACTAACTAAGCGAGTCGGACCGCAAGAAAGTAGTATAGCGCTGCGTACCGTAAACGGGCGTAATATGCAAAGTGTAATATACCCACGCGCGCGCGCGCACGTTCGTTGATAAAAAGCTTTCGATCGAGAAACGCGCGCGATATCGAACCCGGATCTCTGCGGTCTAAAACGCTCCGATTCCTCGAAAGGTGATCAAGCTTTCTAGTCGCGCAAGACCGATTCCCACTGTCTATAACGTACGACAGAATACTAAGCTCCCGCTGACGGAAATACCATCGGGAATAAATGCTCGAGGCCGCTCGAGGTCGACATATAATAAACGTTCCGATAAAACTCGTCTGGCAGTTGCACTTCGCCATTGTTCAGCCCGCGTGCGGATTACGTAATGCCGCGGAATGGTTCTGAAAGAGCTAAGTAAGCGAGAGGATCTCGTAGGGAATAATTAACGCGCGAAACGCGAAACTATACGCGAACGAATGTTAATGCGGCTTTTAAAAATGATCCTAAATAAATGTCATCTTTTCTTCTCTTCATAGCCGGCGTCGAGTATTTTCCGTCTGTACGTTGTTTGCATAACTTTTGTTACGCGCCGTATAAATTATAAAGACGATCAATGAAAAGGCGAGATAATTGACGCAGTTAGAAACGCACTATGTCTTCAAAATTAAGTGCGTTTAAATTTGATAATTTCTAATCAAAAAGATTTTTACGCGCTGTTGTTACATCGTTTATATGCGGTTACACAATATGCAGATAATTTTACGACATAATGCAGTCAGCGAGATCGCAGTCGCGTATAACTTTCATATTTCTAGGAAGGAGCGACATACGATTCGAAGAAAACGAGCCTCATCCAAGTGTTGCATTGTTCTCACAGCAACACCAAAAAAATTATATTCTCAAAGAGGATTATATACTTTAAAACCCTCTACATATTCTTTATAAATAAGAATATCTCTAAGAATATTTCTAGAACATTTTTTGAAACTAACAATAAGAATATATTCTGATTTCTTACCTATATTCTTATAAATTAAGAAACTATATAGTACTTAAATTATTAAGAATATATTTTCATAAATTAAGAATATATAGTACTAAACCTATCTTTTAGAAGAATTCCCTCCGAATCCTCCGAAGTTAAAAAAATCCTTTTGGCACCTATTTTAAGTACAGGCTAATACAAAAATAAGAGGGAAATTCTTAAGCTGAGAATATAATTTTTTTCGGTGATGCGTATATCGCTTATAATCAAGCAAATTTCATTTATTTTAACTATATTATCTAGCGATGGTTATTTTAATTACTTCCGATTTGCTTCCACGTTCGGCTTCGTGTAAACGTTAAATACGCATATAACGCATCGCACAAAGATCGCTCCTCCGATTCTCAATACAACACTGCATGCGCACATGTGGGATGCGTGCCAAAATACATCGGCACATATAGTTGGAGGCACCCAGTTGTTGCACCGAGCCGGAGCACGTTTCGCGGCGTGAATGTAACTATACAATCGGCACAAGTGCAACTATCGCGGGACGCGCGTGGACGGGCGGGCGGTACGCCGCATTCCGTCCATTCTTTCGATAATTCCGCGGGATTTGCATAGGCGTGGGCACGTAGAACTCGGGCGCGTGCAACACGCGTGCCCGATACACGCGTGTGCAATATCCGGCATCTCCTTCGGAAAACAGAGAAGCCGGTTTAACGTCTTTTTGCACGTTAAAAAAACATTAGCCTTATCTTATTCTCTTGCAGTAAGCGTATAGTATTTCGAAATAATATTACGTTATCTTGTCATACGTATTTCTGATCTGTATTATATAATTAATAAAAAGATTACTAAACTGTATTTATGGGACACTTGGGAGATGTGGAATCAAACACGAATAATGCTCGGGAAAGCAGGTCGAGTGCTCCAAAAGCAGATGGCACATCCTTAAGTCAAGGACCATAATTCTTTCCAATCGAACGGGTCGAAACCGGTCCTAACTAGAGACTCTTTTAAGTGCTGACGAAAGTGTGATTGAGTCTCAAAGGAGATCTGATTGTTTCTTTTCGGGGCGTATTTATAACCAGTTAAAAATAACGCGAAAGGATTACAAATTGACGAACGATATTATATAGGATTAAAATCGAAAATCCGGCCGGCCGAAACTTTACCGAAGGTTTTATAATTTCGGGTTACTTCCTATCAGCTGCCTATCTCTGTGCACGCGCGCGAGCGACCGATCGACATGTGTTGCTGCCAGACAAAGACAGCCGGCGCGGTGTGACTGTCGGACGAAGGAGGAGAAGGCGGGGACGTGGTTGCACGCTATCGCTTCTGCTGTCTCCGATAGCGCGACACGCGCAGACTTGTCATTTCGGGATACACGCGCGCGTGAGCGATGCGACGTCAGGAATGCGGGAAAGGGGCTCCCGACTCGGGGATCGGCGGAGACCCGAATTAAGCTTTCGCCGCGATTCGCAGAGACTCGGAAGAACTCTTTCCCTGCCGGGAACCGATCTTCCTGCAAACGCGCGACACTTGGCAAGAGACAAGGAGAAAACACAGACAGAAAGAGAGACAGAAAGAGAGAGAGAGAGAGTGAGAGAGAGAGAGAAAAGGAGTGCGCACCCAGCTGACACTTGGCTGGCGTCCGACCGCCACGTAGCTCACGCGTCTTCGCGAGAGATCGACGACGACGAGGATCGTGGAGAGGCGATTCCGAGGACGAGCGGCCGTCGCCACCGACGCCGCCGCCGTCGAGTCGGGTGGAGCGTGTCCGCGGAAGAACCGAGGTCGCACGGACGGATAGTACGTCGCGTTTCGGCGTGCCGGCGACGGCGACTACTAGCACGGAGAGCAACAGCACATACCCCACGATCAACGAGCATCGCGCGCGCCGGTCGCGCTCGCACTGAGGAGTGAGGATGAGAAACGACGGTGCGGTGCCGTGCCGCACGTATGTACGATAGCGACATAGCTGGGACTTGGTCACATGGCATCCGTGGCGTCACGTGACGCGCGTGACGCCGCCGCCGCCGCCGCGCCGCCGCGACTTACGAACCATGCGCGCACGTGATCGCATCGCATGCCGGGCGGTGAGTTAAAGGGACGCGGAGAGTAGGTACGGAGATTTAAACGGAAGCGTGTGTGTATGGCAAGCAAGTTCCGCCGCGAGACGCTACCCTTCGCCTACCATTCGCGTCGGAACGCTCGATGTTTGAATTGAAAAATTAGAAATGAAATTTAAATAGATCTCAATTAGATAGAGCGATGAAATTTAATAGATCTCGATTAGATTAGGAGCGATGAAAGCGGCTGATTAAATCGAAATAATCTTAAACAGCGGTAGGTTAAAGTGTAGTTAAATCTCGCTGCGAATGGATATTAATTCAGGACATGATAAACCTGAAAAAATAAACGAAAAGAATATACGATAAATATAAATGAGTAAAATGAAAAGACAAGTTAGCTTTCTTTCGTTGAACGTAAGGATGATACGATTGATTAGAGATTAGAATGATTATAGAGATTGATACAAGAGAAATCGGGCGAGATGAATAAAGTTTTATGCGCGTGTTTCGAAGAAATCGAAATAAAAATAACGATATCAAGAGGATTAAGTTAACGTTCTAATTAATGCCGAGATTCCGGGAAATTTATGCTTATATGCTTCCGCAAAAATAATGGATTTTTCGATCTCGATTAGGAGGCGTAACCCCAGTGCAGCAAGTGGGACGACGATAAATGGACTCGATTCCCAGAACGACGACAGAGCAAAGAGCTTTTTGTCAGCGCCCGTCGTCGCTGCGATGTTATGCAAGAGGCTCGTCTCTTTCTCTCTCTCTCTCTCTCTCTCTCTCTCTCTCTCTCTTCTCCCCCCTTTCTTTTCTGTTTCTCCAGTCGAAAGTGCATCCGTCGAAGTGTTTTACAGCCGCAGCTACTTGTGATAGAAAGTTTACGAGAGCGTAGTAGTCTGGGAGAATCATCGAGGGATCCCGCCGATTCATTCACTTTTCCGCTTTTTATTGATCTAAAACATGAATCACGCGCGTTTAATTGAGATTATCGTGTTTTAATCTATACGCGTTTCAATGTACATTTCTCGGATCGAGAAACAGATAAAGTCGCTTAGATGTTTTTCAACAAGACTGTACGTGACACGTACACGTGCGACAGTCCTTGACTGATTTACAATCATAGAGGAATACCAAGTCTACCTTATCTCTCCAGGCGGGGGCAGGGCATAAAGCATCAGCCGCGTAGAATTTAGGTCAGGTTCTTCGAGATATCGAGAATCTCCATTGGGACTTTTGTGCTGAGCGTTACTCAAAATTCTTCGAATTTTTTATCTTCGAATTCTGACACTTCGAAACTTCGGTGGATTCGAAGATTTCGAAATATCGCGGAGCCCCCCCCCCCCAACAAAAACTCGGAAGGAAGTTCTCCTTATTTCTTCCTGCAGACACGCGAAGTAATCATCCGAAGTCACTTTGTCAGGAGTATCCTTGCGGAAACTGCTTAGCTCAACCGTTGTAAATCTCTGCGAGAAAAAAAGGGACACAAAGAGCGGAATGCGGTCTGGCGAGGTGCGTGACGCGAGGAAACTCGCAGTCACGGAATTTCGGCGAAAGTGTACCGGGTGTCCTCGGATACGCGCTGGAGACCCATCTCGCGCCTCGGTGGCGACGTTCGCGTATAAAGTCTCTCTTACATAAAATTAACATTCACTTAAT